AAGTGGACTCAATTTGCACTATTTCTGGCAGTCTGCACACACACACACCCCATGTTTCCTCAAAGCCCAACACTTCAGGTAGAGGTCAGATGCATGCATACAACACGGATTAGCCGAAGCAGCGAGATTTAAAGGTCAGTGGGAGTACATCCATTTAAATCCCCAAATGCTCAGGCTTAACTGGCTCCTGGATAGGACTGGGATTGATTGAAAAGAGCCGGAGGGGAGATCTGGGAGCGCTGGCAACAGCCACACCTGAAAAGGTTGACATCCCACCGGCCTCTGCTGAGAAGGAGCCCCTTTGAATTCAGGGAAATCCGTATAGGACCGCAATGTGTCAAGAATTACACCAAATCCCAAATCCTTATATGGGGCCACCCCTTAGAAAGACCTGTCGTTGTGTGCCTTCAAGTCGTTTCCGACTCATGGCGACCCTAAAGCAGAGCGATCACGGGGTTTTCTTGACAAGTTTCTTCAGAGGAGGTTTGCCATGGCCATCCTCTGAGGCTGAGAGAGTGTGACTTGACCAAAAGAGTGTGACTTGACCAAGGTTACCCAGTGGTTTTTTGTGGGTTTTTCGGCCTGTGTGGCCATATTCTAGAAGAGTTTCTTTCTAACGTTACCCAGTGGGTTTCCAGGCCGAGCCGGGATTCGCACCCTGGTCTCCCCGTGTCCTTGTCCAACTTTCAAACCATTACACCTCTAAGGCCAAGTCAAAGGCGAAAAAGATAGAAGAAAAGTAACACCACAACCGGGATTTGGGATCCTGTGCCAGACTCTCGCCTTTAAACGGGCGATGTCGGCTTGGTTTGGAAAGCAAGACGACGAAATTCTAGTCTCTCCCAGTTTGGGGACAGAAATAATCCGGTTTGACATCGATTTAACGGCCGTGGCTCAATGCTATGCAATTCTGGGAGTGGTAATTTGCTGTGGCACCAGAGCCCTCTTAGAGAGAAGGCTAAGCATCTGACAAAATGACAAATCCCAGAATCCCATAGCATTGAGCCATAGCAGTTAAAGCGGTGTCAAACCGAATTATTGCTGCAGTGAGGATGCAGAGAGAGAGAAAGAGAGACACTAACCCCTACTTTGTAGTGAGCACCGCCACCATCGCACCCCCACCTGCCAACTTCCCCTATCCTCAGGGTGACCAGATGTCCTGACCGCAAAGGAGGACAAAGCACTGCAAAATGGGGGAGATTCCAGGGAAAATGTAGGACATTACAAACAAAAGATTATATATATATGATATATATATGTATATCATATAGATATAAATCCAGGCTTCTGAGTCCTGCTCAAAATGGAGAGGACCTTTTGGGATACTTCCTGGACAGAAGGCTGACATGGAGGACATGCCCAGGAAAGGGAGGACGTCTGGTCTCCTTGCTCTGGATTGTTCACACACACTGCGGACAGACTCAAAGCACCAGAGGGGCCTGGTTTGATAACCTGCAGTTTATCTTTTCCTCCCTTCTCCAGAATCCGAGGAATTCTTCCTGGACAGAAGGACGAAATGGAGGACATGTCCAAGAAAAGGAGGACATGCCTGCCCCCCCCCCC